CGGTTCGATCCCCCAGCACCACATGCCAGCCACCCAGCCCCCTGGTGGGCTGAGCTGGCCACATACCACACATAAATGGATAGATGGATAAATAATTTTTTTTTTTTTTTGCGGAGCCGGGGATTGAACTCAGGCCCTTGAGCTTGCCAGGCAAGTGATTATTCAACTGAGCTATCTCCCCGGCCCCTAATAAATAAATTTTTTTAAAAAAAGACTGCATTATTGGGCTGGTGAGATGGCTCAGTGGTCTAAAGCACCTACTTAGAACAAGCTTAGCAAAGCACAGGGACTGCGGTTCAATCCCCCAGCACCACATGCCAGCCAGCCCCGACCCCCGGTGGGCTGAGCTGGCCACACACACACACACACACACACATAAATAAATAAAATTTTTTTTAAAAAGACTGCATTATTTGAGGCAGGCACAGAGTTTCAATGCACTGCTATATCATTCAAAGCCTCCCAATCAGAAAGTACAAGTTCAGTGATGTCACCACCGCCCCTTAGCCTTCCCTCTTTCTTCAGTGTGTTTGTGGTACTAGAGGTTGTGTGGAGGACCACCTGAGCAACTCCCCTTGAAAGAGGAACAACTATCTCCATTTTGGCTGAGCTGGCCCCTATTTCCGCGTATGGACATGAACAGAGCTGGCCAGGACTTGTCCTTATCCGCTGGCAGTCTTTAAAGTGGCAGGCTTGCTTCCCCCGACCACCACCCATCAGCACAAGATAGGATGAAGAGCCAATGCTCCACACTGTCGGCCCGAATGAGCCTGAGATAGAGGCCATGCCTTCCTGGGGCTTGAAAGAGTCCCGGCAGAGCTGAAGCGCTGGGCCCCAAGACCTCACGTACTACCTCAATTGTGTAATGCAGCTCGCTCCTCCTGCAGATCCTTCTCTGCACACTACAGAGGTGATCTCAGGCCTCCCACTGAGCCCAGCTCCTGGCACTCACGTGCTTCCCACCATCCTCACAGTCACTGATCCTCAAGTCACTCCCTTCTTCATGAATGAAGAAAACCCAGGCTCAGTCTTGTGCTGAGGCCTTTGTTCCAGGGAGCCATCATCATGGCTGGACTTAAGAGCCCCTTGGCCCCCCCCAACTATTAATATGCCCTAGAGTCTTTTTTTTTTTTTTTTTTTTTTTTTTGGTGGAACTGGGGATTGAACTCAGGCCCTTGCGCTTGCCAGGGAAGCATTTATTTCACTGAGCCTTCCTCCTGCCCCTTGCCCTAGAATCTTTATTCTCGCTGTGGGGTGCACTGGTGTGGGAGATCAGTTACTAGAACTGCACTGACTTTTGTATGTGATCACAAATACAAACGTCCTGGGCTGTGACGAGGACCAGAAAGGGCTCTCTATAGGGTTGAAGCTAGGACCTTCCAGCTAAGCTGCAATCGCTCCGTCCTTTTATTTCATTTTTTAAATTCTGAGACAAGATCTTACGTTGCTCAACTGCCCAGGCTGGGATCAAACTTAAGAACCTCTCGCCTCCCAGAGGGATCGACTGACTATAACTCACATTCTTCAGAATTTAGCTCTTCAAGGCTGAGCTCACTACGTGTAGCTCAGGCTCGCCTCAAAGTCAAGGCAATCCTCCTGCCTCAGCCTCTCCAATGTTGCGATTACGCGCGTGTGCCACCACACCTAGCCCTACGTGCGCACTTTTTGGTGGTTTGGAATCTACAATACAAATACGGAAATCCAGGTTTGGCTCCTTCCTCCCGCACACTGAGCCGGAGCTCTGCACGTGGGGCCTGTCCCCGAGCCTGGGAAATGGATGGCTCACACATCCGCCGTCCACACTTCCAGCCGCTCTCCCGGGATAACTGGACAAGCCGAGCAGAACAGGCAGGCTAGTGGACAAGCCGGTCCTACAGATCCGGAAGACACCAGCCCGAGCCGGGGAGCAGGGGCGCAGCCCGCGGCCTCCCTCCACGCCACCACGCTTGGGGCCCGGCAGACGGCGCTGTTACCGCTTTCTCGGAGTCCGCCTCCGCCAGCCGTTTCAGCAGCGCGCCTTGATGCTCCATGAGTCTTTCAGCGTCCTGGGGAGGAGAGGAGAGGCACCTGATCAACAGCGCGACAGTACGCCTGGCCTGGGCCTTGCTTTTTCAAAATTTTACTTGCAAATGATTTTTGTTTTTTTGAAACAGTTTTGCAATGTGTTCTCCCCTGGACTTGAATTTATGGGAATCATCTTGCTTCAGCCTCCCAAATCCTGGAAGTACAGGTGTGCACTGCCACATCCAAGCTTGATACTTGCAATAATTTTTTTTTTTTTTTGGGGGGGTGACTTTCTGAGACAGGGTCTCATTATGCAGTTCTGGCTGGATTTGAAATCACTTTGTAACCCAGGCTGGACTCCAACTCACAGCAACCCTCCTGCCTCAGCCTGCAAAGAGCTGGGATTACAGGTGTGAACCACCAGGCCTGGTTTACCACTGATTTTTAAATTTTTATTTATTTATTTATTGCAGAACCAGGGATTGAACTCAGGCACTTGTGCTTACCAGGGAAGTGCTTATTCCACTGAGCCATCTCCCCAGCCTCCTACCACTGATTTTTAAAACAGTTTTACTGAGGTGTAAATTTGGGTGGGTCCTCATCCAGGGTGCTCCCAGTGACCTAATTTCCTTCTGCTAGAGCCCACCTCTTACAAGCCCACCTCCTCCTGACTGGCTCTGAAGATGGGGGCCAAGCCTTCAACATGCAGTTAGCCTTTAAGGGATATTCAACTTTCGAACTATAAGGCTGGATTTTGATTCTGGCTCTGCCACTTACTATACCTGGGATAACCAACAAGATATTGAACATGTGAATAAAAAAAAAAAAAAAAAAAAAAAAAACCATGAATTGCCAGGCATGGTGGTACATGCCTGTAATCCTAGCACTTGGAAGGTTGAGGCAGGAGGATCTCTACAAGTTCAAGGCAAGCCTCAACTACACAGCGTGACCACCTCAAAAAAAACAACAAAAAACCCCCAACAACACAAGATGGGAAGAATGGTACCTCCTACTCTAAGAAAATTAACTGCAGCAGACGTAAACCCTTGAACCCAGAATGATCATACCAATTCAGGTATCCACACTACATTTTGATAGTACAGGGAAAAAAGGACTAAGGTCTTAAGATAACAGCAGAAGTTACTTTAAAGTCTTAAAAGTCTCTTCCTTCATTGGGAAGCTATTGCTCCAAACAGTGCCAAACTGGTTCTCCTCCAACTACTTTTTTCATCCTTTTAATTTAGCTTTTTAAAAATATATTTAGTACAAGGCCTACAGGGTATAGCATCTACAGTTGTGATTCTCCTGTTTTCAGCCTCCCAAGTGCTGAGATGACAGGCGTGTGCTACCAATTGATTTCTCAGCCTGCCCCAGGGGCAGGGCCAGCATTGCAGGCAGGGATCCAACCCTGGCCACAGCACTAATTTAGCTTCTTTTTCTTTTTTTTTTCCGGCGGAACCAGGGCTTGCACTCAGGCCCTTATGCTTGCCAGGGAAGCGCTCATTCCACTGAGCCATCTCCCCAGCTCCTAATTTAGCTTCTTGAGAGGGTCTTGCTATGTAGTTCAGGCTGCCTTCGAACTCACTATGTATCGCAGGTTGACCTCCAAACTGCCCCGGTCCTCCTGCTTCAGCCTCCTGAGTGGAAGGATTTTAGGCATCCCCCACCACAGCAGCCTGCCACTGTGATCTTAACTTCTCTCCACAATTTGAGTGATGAGGCTGTGTCCAGGTTTTGTAACTACAAAGTGTGAGTCAGTGGACAGAGCTGGCAGGAACCTAGTGTCTCCCTGGGTTGATGCACTCAAGAGGGCAGCAGGCTGAGGCGGCCTGCGATCTGGGGCCGCAGTGCCCCTCCAGAGCCTGGCCGCGCTCATACCTCGCAGGCAAGACACCACCTGGAGCACCGCTGATGTGGTGGGCAACACAGTGCCAGCGCACTCTCGCTTGTCTGCCGGCCGCCAGGATTCTCTGCCGGCTCCCTCCTCTCTCCCTTCCTACTGCTGCTTCTCCTTGGCTGTCCCTATTCTTCCTCCCTTGCACTTAGGACAAAAAGAAGCTGAGCCTCTTTCTTCCTCTTTGTACCACAGGTCCCATTCACAAATAAGAAAAAATGGCATCCTGATCCCAGTTTCCAGGGTCTAAGGAACAGACCAAGAGTAAAAAGAATACAGATGGGCTGGCGAGATGGCTCAGTGGTCTAAAGCACCTACTTGGAACAAGCTTGGCAAAGCACAGGGACCGCGGTTCGATCCCCCAGCACCACATGCCAGCCAGCCCCGCCCCCTGGTGGGCTGAGCTGGCCACGAGCCTCTTTCTTCCTCTTTGTACCACAGGTCCCATTCACAAATAAGAAAAAATGGCATCCTGATCCCAGTTTCCAGGGTCTAAGGAACAGACCAAGAGTAAAAAGAATACAGATGGGCTGGCGAGATGGCTCAGTGGTCTAAAGCACCTACTTGGAACAAGCTTGGCAAAGCATCAGGGACTGCGGTTCAATCCCCCAGCACCACATGCCAGCCAGCCCCGCCCCCTGGTGGGCTGAGCTGGCCACACACACACACACACACACACACACACACACACAATAAATAAATAAATAAATGTTAAAAAAAAAAAAAGAAAGAAATGTGGACTTTAAAAAAAAAGGGGGGCTGGTGAGATGGCTCAGTGGTCTAAAGCACCTACTTGGAACAAGCTTGGCAAAGCATCAGGGACTGCGGTTCAATCCCCCAGCACCACATGCCAGCCAGCCCCGCCCCCTGGTGGGCTGAGCTGGCCACACACACACACACACACACACACACACACACAATAAATAAATAAATAAATGTTAAAAAAAAAAAAAGAAAGAAATGTGGACTTTAAAAATCAAGATGGGCTGGCGAGATGGCTCAGTGGTCTAAAGCACCTACTTGGAACAAGCTTGGCAAAGCATCAGGGACTGCGGTTCAATCCCCCAGCACCACATGCCAGCCAGCCCCGCCCCTGGTGGGCTGAGCTGGCCACACACACACACACACACACACACACACACACAAAATAAATAAATAAATAAATAAATGTTTTAAAAAGAAACCATTAATTAAAAGAAACGATGCCAACAACAACAAAACAGTAAGAGCACCAGCTATACTGGGGTAGTTTCTGACCCAGTGGGCTTGGCAGCGGCAGAACACCTGGCGACCACCACAGCGCCCCCCCAGCACCCCATGGCTCGATTCTGCAGAGTAAGGAGCACAGCACTCAGCCCACAGGCTGCTCCAGGGGCGAGCGCCGGCAGGTACTCACCTCCCTGCAGTGCTGTTCCCGCAGCAGGTCTCGGAGGGTGCGGTTGGTCTCCTCGAACGTGCTCAGCTTCTGCAGGAGAAGTTCCTTCTGCCTCGTTAGCGTGTTGATGTCCGTGCAGGTCATTTGTTTCTCCTGGAAGACATGCAGGGCTTGGCTCATGGGTGCTGGAGAAGAGGCAGCGCAGGCACCACGAGGACCTCCTGAGGTCCAGGGCTTCCCAGGGGCAGCAGCCCTGGGAAGTAGGCAGGAGTCCAGCCTGCCAAGTACAAAAAGTAGAGCGAGGGGATGTAATCCCAGCACTTGGCGCTAAGGCAGGAGAATCATGGTGAGTTTGAAGACAAGTCTAAACTACACAGTCAGACCCTGTCTCAAAAATACAAAACAGGGGGGCCAGGGAGATGGCTCAGTAAAATAAGCGCTTCCTTGGCAAGCGCAAGGACCTGAGTTCAGTCCCTGGTTCCATCAAAAAAACAAAAAACAAAAAAAAAAACAGGGCCGGGGAGATAGTTCAGTAGAATAAGCGCCTGCCTGGCAAGTGTGGAGTCCTGAGTTCAATCCTAGGGGTGGGGGGGTGGGGGGGTGGAGCAGAGTAGGGGAGAGCTTGGAGGGAAGTGTGTGAGTCTAGGCCTGGCAGGCCTCAAGGAGAGGAAGACAGCGACACCTGGTGGCTCACACTGGAGGACTCATCCACATGCCTGGATTCACAGCGAAGCCAGGCAACCCATGATGCGGTAAGGTCTCAGAGGCCCGGGCCACCAGAGCTCATCTTCCAGGGTCAGGGCCCAGGAAGTGAGTGGGGGCCAGGGGCCGAGGAGCTAAGCGCCCTCCCAACCCTGGGATGTCACAGAGGGCCTGATGACTGCACAAAGGCCCCGCCCTGCCGGCCGCTCACCACCCCCGCCCCCACCCCCACCCCAGGGTTGAGTACTGCTGCCCCCCACCCACCGTTTTAAGCTTGCCGATGGTGTCCTTCAAAGCCATGACCTGCTTGGCGGCGGCGGCTCCATCCATTTCCGCCTCCACCAGTTTGGACATGAGGCACTCCTTCTCCTGCTGGAGGTGCTTCTTCTGGAGCCTGGGCACACAGGTGGGGCTCCGTGAGCCCTGGCAGGCCCCGCCCCCGCCCCCTGATGGAGCTCCGGGTGCTTGCCTCACAATGCCCCCGGGCTCCCCAGCCAGGGGGTGGCGGGGGAGGGGCAGCTCTGCTAGGGGGCAAGTTCACCCACAGTGGGCAGTCTTCCAACAGCGGCTGGGCCACCAGGCCCTGTACATCTCCCACAGCCACCATCACTGCTACTGCCGTCGCTTCCTAGCTATCGGGACAAAAACCAGGCCAGGCGAGCGTTTAGCCACTGAGCTGCAGTGTAAGGCCTTGGAACCACTCTCCACGGCAGGGCCCTGCCTGCTCGTGCCACACCCTTGCTTTTTTGTTTTGATCTTTTTTGGAGACAGGGTCTTCCGCAGCTCAAGCTGGCCTTGAGCTTACTTTGTAGTCCAGCATGGTCTCCAACCTGCAGCAATCCTCTCCTGCCTCAGCCTCCTAAGTGCTGGGATTATAGGTGTGTGCAACTATTCCTGGCCATAAACTTGCTTTTAAGCCTTTCTGCAGGTCAGACAGCTGCTAAACACCGCCTGGTGCCATCTGGCGGCACCCTGCCCTTGCCCTCACCGGCTACACTGTCCCAGCCTGCAGCCTTCCACTATCCCTGCTTTCTTCCTTGGCTCCCCTGTGGTTAACCTGCCACCCTGGGGGGCTCTCCCTTGATGGCACGCTGTTGAGGAGTTCCTGTCTACCAGGAGCCCTTCCTCTCCTCCCAGCGTGCAGCCGCTCCCTGGGTGTCCTGGGGGCTGGGGCCTGAGGCAGCGCGGGCAGGTCCTCACACGGTGTAGTCCTTCTCCTCCTTGATGCGCTCGATGTTGTGCCTCAGCACTGTGTTCTCGTGCTCTGTCTCTGCCAGCTCGTGGGCCACCTCCTCCAGCTCTTCCTTCCGCTCCTCCAGGAACTTCTTAGCCATCTGCCGCTCGCCCTTCTGCATCCTGACCTGGCAGGCACACATGGGTGGCAGGGCCAGTGTTGGGCACTGTCCTCGACACCACACTGCTAGGCCCCAAGCTTGAGATGGAAATGAGCCACCTCCAGGGGAGGCAGCGGGAGCTGCCTGGGCTAGGTCCTAGGAGCTCAGTGGACACAGTTTCAGTGACAAGGGACAAACAGACTCCCTGAGGAGATACTTCCTCCTCCTCCCATTGTGCAGAGGAGGGCACTACACGCAGACAGCTTGGTTGGGACAAAGCTAGGTTGCAACGTGGGATGCCAGGGCTATATAGGATCAGGAGGACCTGTGGCCCAGTAAGCGGCCCCAGGTTCTGCAGCAAGATCCAGGACAAGAGGACAGATTGAGGGATTAAAGACACAGCTTTTTTATTTTTCCTCAGCCCACAGGAACTGTATTTTAAAACCAGTGCCATCAGGAGCTGGTGAGATGGCTCAGTGGTCTAAAGCACCTACTTGGAACAAGCTTGGGAAAGCACAGGGACCGCGGTTCGATCCCCCAGCACCACGTGCCAGCCAGCCCTGCCCCCTGGTGGGCTGAGCTGGCCACACACACACACACACACACACACACACACACTAAATAAATAAATAAATAAATAAATGTTTTAAAAAAAATAAAGCCAGTGCCAGCAACTTCTGCTTGGGGACTCTGGACTTTGGGGCCATGTCCCTGCCCAGGGACAGCCTGCATGAGAGGACTCATTTCTTGAGGGTTTTGCTTTGGCTCAGTGTTTGTATAGAACCCTGGGCCAGACCCCAGCTTAGCGGTCACTTTTCCCGTAAATGAGAACATTAATACCACCAGCATGATTTCCTGCTGTCCAAGTCAAGCTGGGCCACACTGTCAGGACCTCCTCAGTATGGGGGGCCCAGACTACCCCAGCTCTCTTCCTGCAGCTAAGGGAACAGGTGGGGACAGCCCCAAGCTGTCCCCGGCCTTGGGCTACCAGCCACCTGGCTCCTAGCGTCCTCACCTCAGACTTGAGACAACCAACCGCGTTCATTAGACTGTCGATCTTCTTGTCATAGTGGTTCATTTTACAGTGGCCAGAGTCATCATCTTCTGTGGAGAGGTCACTTAAGCGCATGACTGAGACCAGCTTTTCTGAGGATGGAGGTGTGATTTCTAGGCAGTGAGGTGGATTCTGGGATGGAGGAAGAAGACACAAGTGAGCTCACTGGCTGGGAGCTTGGCCCATGCTGCTGCTGGACCGTGGTGGTGGCTGAGGAGTGGACCCAGCTGCACAGCCGTGGTCGAGAAAGAGCACTGCCCCACACCTACCTGGCAGCCAGCGCGACCCTAGATGGCTCTCAAGAATTTCTAACATCGAGTAAAAGCTTGGATCAGAACAATTAAGGCACAGAACGCTGGGTGTGCTCGCATCCACTTATGGTCCCAGCTACCCGGAGGAGGCTCGTTGCAGCCCGTGAGTCCAAAGCCAGGCTGCACTACTTAGTAACTTAGCTGGACTCTGTCTCAAAATAAAAAGGGCTGAGAAAGTGGCTCAGCGTGAAGGTCCTGGCTAGATCCCCAGAAGTATAACAACCACAAGAGCAGGCCTAAGACAAGTGTGTAAGCCAGGGCAGTGAACGCTTTCAGGGGCAATGAGGCAATGACGAACAGAGCAGTAGGCAGGCGCTAGGAAGAGGGTGCACTCCAGGGAGCTGGGATGGGTGACAGGGACCTTCAGCTTGGGGGTTTCCCCCAGCACCACATTCCTGTGAATCAAATCATGCCACTGTTATAGCAGCCAATCATGAATTTTTTTTTTTTTT